CCCCCCGCTAAGCTCTCACTCCACCCCCGTAGCATCCACACTGTCTTCCAATAAAGGTGTTGCTCTCCCTCCTTTGCAGCAGTCTGTCACCTCCCCTGGAGGGTGCCTGGGGAGGGGAGGTGGGGCTCAGTCCTAGGGGACCCAGGGAGCCACCGAGGGGACGGAAGTGGGCGGGACCTGGGAATAAAGTGCTGCTCTCGGAAACCCAGAGCCATTGTCGCCTGTCATTTCCCAGCCTCTCTCGGGGAGTGTGGGGCGCACCCAGTCCTTTTCTCAGCCACCATCCTCGCTGATTTCTCCTCCATTTGGGGAAACCCCCACGGTAGATTCTCACACTGCAGGCCCCAAGGCTGAAGCCCTCTTCTTGTCCAGCATCCAGGGCAAGGCACGTCATGTGACTGCAGCCCCACCAATCAGAGCCCTCCCTGCGGCCTGCTGGGGAGCCACTGACAGAAGGTGGGAGGGAGCACGTGCACCAACAGCGGGTGGCGCTGCCCAGAGGGTGGAGGCTGGTCTGTGCGCCCGGGACAGGCCCCTGGTTGGGCGTGGGGTACGTTCCCATCTGCAAAGGACCGAGCCTTCTCTTCAGCCTTCTCAGATTTTGGGGAGGGGGAGGGAGGGACTGCTTCGCCTCCTTTAATAAATTGCTTTTCAGATTAAAGGAGGTTTCACCAGTAGCGACCAACAGCCCTGACCGCTGCCATTTTTCAGACGTGGAAGCTGAGCCCAGGGTGGTTAGTCCATGGCCAGGTTCACGCGGCCAGGATTCAGACCTGGGTTCACCCTAAACCGGGTTCCTCTGCCCTGTACGTACACTGGCTTCCTAGCCCCGTCTGTTGCCAAACTAATTCCTATGCAATTTCCTGGCACCCCTGGGACTTTGGAGGGGCCCGTTACTTTCCCCTCTCCTCCCACATTCAGGATAAGTGGAAGGTGGTTACGGGATCCAAGAATCGGAGGTCAAGTGTCACCTCCATTACCGTTAACGCCACTCACAGATGGTGGCCGTAGCCTTGTGCTGCTCCACCCCAGCATCCAACACCCTCGTCCACGTGGTCACAGGCAGCCCTGGGCGAGCGCGGACCTCTGACTTCACCCCCGCAGCTCCAAGCTGTGAGCATGCCACATGCCCCTGAGGTGGCAGTGGACTGTCACTCCACATTCCTACCTGAGGCAAGGACCGCAAAAGCACCCCATGGCAACAGACACCCTGGAGATAGCAAGGGCCAGACGAGGCATGGGGGAAAAATCTAATTACGGACATGTGGTCATCAGTGAGTGCAAGGAAATGACAACCATTAGGGCAATTAGAAGCTAACAGATGTAACAGGAGAGTGTTCTCAACATGACTCAATTACTTGTAAATGTCCTTGAGCCCTGGCCGGTGTTGCTCAGTGGATAGAGCGTTGGTCTGCGGACTGAAGAGTCCTGGGTTCGATTCAGGTCAAGGGCACATGCCCGGGGTTATGGGCTCGATCCCCACTAGGGGGCGTGCAGGAGGCAGTCGATCAATGATTCTCTCTCATCATTGATGTTTCTATCTCTCCCACTCTCCTCTGAAATCAATAGAGATATTTTTTAAAAATGTAACTGAATTGTAAAAGGTCACTCTGCAGGCTAAAAACAAAAGTTTTAGCCTGGCAGGTGTGGCTCAGTGGTTGAGCGGCCACCTATGAACCAGGAGGTCACGGTTCGATTCCCAGTCAGGGCACATGCCTGGGCATTGGGCTCCATCCACATTGTGCGGCGTGCAGGTGGCAGCCAATCAATGATTCTTATCATTGATGTTTCTCTCCCTCTCTGAAATCAAAATATATTTTTTAAAAATAAACAAAAGTTGAGGCCTTACACAAATTTACCCTTCTTAAGCTTGCAGTGGGCCTGCAACATGGGCAAAGGGTGGCTATGCAAGTTGGGGAAACTGAGGCTCAGAGCCAGATGGGACCCTGCTGAGCATTTACACAAGGTCTGGGAGAACCTTTCCAGTCGATGCTGTTAGAGGATTTTTTGTGCGGCAATGAAGGCGTGGCCGGGGTAAATGCCTGGTGGTGGGACTGAAGTCAGCCCAAAGCCAGAGAAGGCGTCGGGGAAATAGAAAAATAAACCCGCGGGCCCCGGCTGGTTTGGCTCAGTGGATAGAGCATCGGCCTGCGGACTAAAGGGTTCCAGGTTCGATTACGGCCAAGGGCACATGCCCTGGTTGCGAGCTCGATCCCCCTCCCCCAGTAGGGGGCGTGCAGGAGGCAGCCAATCAATAATTCTCTCTCATCATTGATGTTTCTATCTCCCCCCCCTCCCTTCCTCTCTGAAATCAATAAAAAAAAAGATATTGTCTTTAAAAAAGAAAAAAGAAATAACCGGGCGGGACCCCCGCAAGAATTCCCAGGCGCTGGACCCTGAGCCTAGAAAGGAATGTGAATGGAGGGAGAGAGAATGGAGACCGGCTTCCACCTGAAGCGAGCGGGAAGAGAAATCCTGGAGCCGGATTTCCTCTGGTTTTGGAACGGAGCCGGAGAGAACGCTGGGTGTGCTTCGGCGCCTGCGCGTTGGGTTGCCAGGGTTTATTCTAGGAGAGACCGTTGGCACCAAGCGGCGCAGGCGCGGCCGAGGCG